GAGAGAGAGAGAGACAGACAGACAGACAGACAGACAGACAGACAGAGACAAAATGTTTCTTTACTGCTGTTGAGAGCTATAATTGTAATTATCTTTGTAAGATGTGCAACTGTGTGATTGGGGCAACTATACAGCTTACGCTATTGTTGCGACATCAAGGTTTGACTCTTGCAACTCGGAGATCTGGTCATCATCCCTCAATGGTACGAGCCATTAACAGAAATCTTGTGTTCTCTTATGTGGATAGCAACTCTCTTCTGCTTCCCCAAATATGACTGCAAAAGCTATGAGACTTTAAGAAACCTGATTCAATGTTGAAAAAAAAAGGAGGGGGACAACCACTAGAAACTATTGAAGAATATATAATTTCCTTGTGATTGGTAGTCTCAGACAGGGTGTGGAACATTTAATGCAATGTTTTCAGTAGGACACTTCTTGAGTTATTTCTCTAGCACTTCAACAGGCATGGATCTGAGCAAGTTTGCTTGTGTTCCACTCCTGATTAGTTACGTGAGAAGCAACTAGTTTCACCCTGAATTAGCTACATGTTTGGGGAGCTAATTACAGCACAGGGACTTGAAAAACAATGGCACAGCTTCCTGCTGGAGGTCTTGTCTTGTGCCCAAACTTATGGGCTACCTTTTTCATTTTTAAATATGAAGAAGATGTCTGGCATGGTACTATTTCCTCATGATAAGCTCATTTTTTTTCTTCCTGAGTCTCATTTTTTGCCCTTCTGTAATGAAACTGCCATCATGCTTTGGAGAACAACCTGATAAATGTTTACATTTTCAGTGTGTCCTAGTGACTCACTGTACAACTGTACTCAGCAGCTGTGCTAGTCTATCTCAGCATGTTGCCATAATTAAAGAGAAAAAAAGAATGACAAAATAAGGCCAACTATTGTGACGCTGTAAAAACTAACAGATTAAAGAGTCAACAGACTGCAACAATGAAATAAATATTTGAAGTGCCACAATATCATGCCTTTTTCTCATTTTCTTTTCTTTCCCTCAGCCCCCACCCTTTAATTTTGCTCATATACTTGGCTCGCAACATTCATCTGAAACGTCACTGCTGAGTTCCAGGAGAAAAGCCTTATGATTTCTTATGTATCTTTTTTTCTGGGTACTTTTTCTGACAGCACATAAAAGCAGTTACCCATCAAGTACAAAAGTATATTGTGACAATCAGGCATATGGGTAGGTGAGACTGGAAGTAATTGGAGAGTTTCCTACATTTGCCAAGGAGAAATGTTTGTCATGATACTGGTTCAGAGAACTAAAAATATTAGTCAGAACCGGGGCTAGATGACTTGTCTGTGAGGTAAAGACAACACAAAGGCTTCAAGAGCTGTCAGAAACTCTGCATCATTCATTGAAATTAGAAGGATTAGAATATCTGTTTCTCTTTTCCTCTCAAATTGTGATCATTCTTCTGGGCAATATGACTAAGAGACATTTAAAACATATTTTTGTCAGTAAAAGATCTGTTGAGTTATAAAAACTGCTGCAATAGTAGAATCTATTATTTCTATGACGGACAAGAACTGGCCATATTTTATCACGGCTGCATGATTACACCAAAGAACATTCTGGAGCGTTAACAGGAGCAACAGAAAACCCAGCTGATTTTAGGCAGCGTGTTCCTGTTTAGAAATATTATATCTAATGCAAAGATCGAAGCATTGACATCAGTTCAATTTGATCCTCACTAGACGTTCTAGCCTTCCTAGTATTACGATCACACTCAGTTACCAGAGGGCTGATTGTGATGCTGATCACTCCCTGGTGTATAGTAGAATAAAACTGCGAACAAAGAGATTGCATCAAACGAAAAAGGAAAGAAGACCACGTATTGACATCAGCAAGACTCTCAATCAAAGAAAAGTGGAGGAATTTGCCCAAGCACTTGAGGAAACCCTTCCAGGCCTGGCTGATGCAAATGCACCTGAATGATGGGAACATTTCAAGAACGCTGTTTATAACACCGTCTTGTCCACATTTGGCAAGAAGACCAAAAAGACGGCAGATTGGTTTGAAGCCCATTCAGAGGAGTTGATGCCAGCCATCGAGGATAAGGGGAGAGCTCTAGCAGCATACAAAGCCTGTCCTAGTGAGTACAACTTGCAGGCTCTTAAGAGTTGCTCATAGCAAAGTCCAACAGGATGCCAGGAGACGTTCTAACGATTATTGGCTTCAGCTCTGCTCTCAGATACAGATAGCCACAAGGCTTTAAGAAACCTGATTCAATGTTGAAAAAAAAAGGGGGGGGACAACCACTAGAAATCAGTGAAGAATATATAACTTCCTTGTGATTGTTAGTCTCAGACAAGGTGTGGAACATTTAATGCAATGTTTTCAGTGAGACAATTCTTGAGTTACTCCTCTAGCACTTCAACAGGCTTGGACCTGAGCAAGTTTGCTTGTGTTCCACTCCTGATTAGTTATGAGAGAAGCAACTAGTTTCACCCTGAATTAGCTACATGTTTGGGGAGCCAATTACAGCACAGGGGCTTGAAAAACAATGGCACAGCTTCCTGCTGGAGGTCTCGTCTTGTGCCCAAACTTATGGGCTACCTTTTTCATTTTTAAATATGAAGATACAGATAGCAGCAGACACAGGCAACATCAAGGGAATGTATGATGGTATCAAGCAGGCTTTAAGTCCAATACAGAAGAAATCTGCTCCTGTGAAGTCTGCTACAGGCGTGATCATCCAAGACCAAGCACAGCAGATGGAACGCTGGGTGCAGCACTACTCTGAGCTATATTCCAAAGAGAATGTAGTAAGCAAAGAGGCATTAAATAACATCGAGTGCCTGCCTGTCTTGGAAGAGTTGGACAGTGAAACAACTTAAGCAGAAATAAAAGTGGCCTTGAATACCCTCGCCTCCAGCAAGGCACCTGGGAAGGATAACATCCCCGTTGAAGTGCTGAAGTGCTGTAAAGAGATCATCACCACTGAGCTGTATGAGATCTTTTTTCTTTGTTGGATAGAAGGTGGGGTGCCACAACACATGAAGGATGCAAACATTGTCACATTGTATAAGAACAAAGGAGACAGGGGCGACTGCAATAACTACCATGGCATCTCTCCTCTCAGCGTTGTAGGGAAGCTGCTTGCCCATGTTGTACTGAAGAGACTCCAAGTGTTTGCAGACAGAGTCTATCCAGAATCACAGTGTGGATTTCGAGCTAATAGATCCACCACTGACATGGTATTTTCCCTCAGACAGTTGCAGGAGAAATGTAGGGAACAACGACGGCCACTCTTTGTGGCCTTCATAGATCTCACAAAGCCCTTTAATTTGGTTAGTAGGCACAGCATTTTAGAAATACTTCCCAAAATTGGATGTCCACCTCGACTCCTTAACATCATCAGGTCCTTTCATGAGGAAATGAAGGGCACTGTAGTTTTTGATGGCTCAACATCAGATCCCTTTGACATCTGAAACAAGGCTCCGTCCTCATGCCAACCCTGTTAGGGATCTTTTTTGCCATCATGCTGAAGCACACCTTTGGAATTGCAACAGAAGGTGTCTATCTCCGGACTAGATCAGATGGAAAGCTCTTTAATCTCTCTAGATTGAGAGCGAAGACCAAAGTCCAGCTGAAATGCATGTGGGACTTCCTCTTCGCCAATGATGCAGCTGTTGTTGCCCATTCTGCTAAAGACCTCCAACAACTGATGAATCATTTTAGTAAGGCCTGCCAAGATTTTGGTCTAACAACCAGCCTGAAGAAAACACAAGTCATGGGCCAGGACTCATCTCTATCTATTACCATATCCACACAAGAATTGGAGGTTGTTCATGACTTTGTGTACCTTGGCTCAACGATCTCGGACACTCTCTCCCTAGATGTTGAGCTGGATAAATGCATTGGCAAAGCAGCTACCATGTTCTCTAGACTCACAAAGAGAGTATGGCTTAATAAGAAGCTAACGGCATACACCAAGATCCAGGTCTATAGAGCCTGTGTCCTAAGCACACTCATGTACTGAAGTGAGTCCTGGACCCTTTGTGCATGGCAGGAGAATAAGTTAAAAACATTCCATATGCGTTTTCTCCAACACATTTTTGGTATCACCTGGCAGGACAACGTTCCAAACAGAGTAGTCCTAGAACGAGCTGGAATTTTTAGCATGTATATATTACTGAAACAGCAACATTTACGTTGGCTTGGGCATGTCGTGAGAATGGCTGACGGTTGGATTCCAAAAGATCTCCTGTATGGAGAATTAGTGCAGGGAAATAGCCCCAGAGGGAGACCACAGCTGCAGTACAAGGTTATCTGCAAGTGGGATCTAAAAGCCTTAGGAATGGAGTTCAACAGATGGAAACTTTGACATGTAAGTGTTCAGCTTGGAGGCAGGCGGTACAGCATGACCTCTCCCAATTTGAAGAGGCACTTGTCCAGCAGGCTGAGGCAAAGAGGAAGTCACAAAAGCAGCAAAATCAGGGAGCTGAACAGGGGACAGACTGTCTTTGTCTTTGATGTGGAAGAGATTTTTACTCTCGAATTGGCCTCCTTAACCACACTAGATGGTGTTCCAAGTCCTCTGTTCAGAGCACATTACCATAGTCTCTCAAGACTGAAGGATGCCTAATCTAGAATACAATTTTAAAATACTTATTATTTTGGTTGCTTGATCAATGTGCTTAGCATCTTTTTACGTATTTTAATTTTTAAAAAAAATGTGTACTGTTTATGTCAATATATGTTAGGAGGCTCATTACAATGTTGAATGTCTCAGCTTTGTTCTCCCATCTAATCAATAGAAGGATGCCACTGAACTGACTGTATCAATACAAGGCATCTTTACTTGTCCTTGCTGGCTGATCAAGTCTGACTCGAGTTACAGCTGGATCCTGGCTTCATTTTGGAAAGATGCATGGTCGATTATGCCATGTGTTCACTGCCAAAGCAACCACCACAGTTTGATGTATCTGAAGAAGCCTGTAATCATGTTGAAAACTAGGTGAACAAAGCCTCACTTGTTTTTCAGGTACCTCCAAAATTATTCTCCTCATCCCATAAGAAGGAGGGTATATAGTGGTGTGGATGACTAGAGAAGAGAATGAAAAATTGAGCAAAATTGCACAAATAATCTTTTAATGCAAATAATACAAATTGGGCAAAATTTTAAGGGTGAGAAGTTCTGAGGGTTTTATCAGTGTTTAAAATAACTAGTCAGTTATCCTGTGCCTGCTGGGGACACTTTGCTTCTCAAGAGGAGAGGACAGAGGCATTTTGCATACATTACAGAGAGGCTGATTGGGGGGAGGAGGGCAGGGCAGGAAAAAAAAAACCCAGGGCTCATTTTCTTGCTTTTGCCTGAAGGCAAGGAATCTTGCAGGGCTTGGAAATAGCTCAGTGAGTATCAAGTCAGAACAGCCTAAATCAATAGAAGTGAAGAATGCAGTAGACATTCTCAATATATCTAACTGAAACGTTGCTCTGTATCTTGGCAACGGCTTGGTATTGCATCTATAATATGGAATAATGAATTTTCCCCCTCCCATATTGTACCCAACCTGTACATACAACAATACATACTTTGATTACAAAGGCTTAATTTACTGAACTGAACATATTTTACTTACCACCGGTAACAACAATATTGGCTTTTCCACAATATGTGAAAGCATTAACTCCTTTTGGTACTGAAAAATCCCTGACAGGCCTGCAATCAGAACAGAACATTTGAAGAAACTGGGATATCAACGGTAATAGTTCCAGCAGGTTATACATCTAGGAAACTGCTTTCAGAAACAGCCTGCAATGAAAGGCTTTGAACTAGAGCTTCAAAGGCACTACCATTTTAATAAAAGTGGGACAGACTTGTACAATAGGTCACTGGAGTTTAGGTTCTTTTCATCTTGCTGGCATTTCCACAGAAGAATCTTGGTCAGTTTTTTTCAACCTGGGATCTTTCAGATGTGTTGCATCACAACTTCCACCATCCAAAGCCAGCACAGTCATTGCCCACGATAGCTGAGAATGATGGGAGTTATGGTCCAATATATCTGGAGGGGCTCAGGTTAGAAAACGTTGATCTAAGCAAATGAGGAGCAGGTAAAAAGATGGACATGATAAAGGACAAAAATGGGAGGGACCTAACAGAAGCAGAAGACATCAAGAAGAGGTGGCAAGAATACACAGAGGAATTATATCAGAAAGATTTGGATATCCCAGACAACCCAGATAGTGTGGCTGCTGACCTTGAGCCAGACATCCTAGAGAGTGAAGCCAAGTGGGCCTTAGAAAGAATGCTCCAACTACTGTACAATTGCACTTATTTCACACGCTACCAAGATTATGCTCAAAATTCTACAAGGTAGGCTTCAGCAGTATGTGGACTGAGAACTCCCAGAAGTACCAGCTGGATTTTAAAGGGGTAGAGGAGCTAGAAGCCAAATTGCTAACATGCACTGGATTATAGAGAAAATCAGAGAGTTTATTTATTGATTGATTGATTGATTTATATCCCGCCCATCTGGTCTGGTCGACCACTCTGGGCAGCTTCCAATAAAAGTATATACAGTAAAACAATAAAAATACAATAAAAGTATATACAGTAAAACATAAGAATATTACACATAGTGTGCATTCAATCAGAACACATACAATAATAGAACAAAGAAAGAAAGAAAAAGAAAAAGAATTGATTGATTGATTGATTTATATCCCGCCCATCTGGTCTGGTCGACCACTCTGGGCAGCTTCCAATAAAAGTATATACAGTAAAACAATAAAAATACAATAAAAGTATATACAGTAAAACATAAGAATATTACACATAGTGTGCATTCAATCAGAACACATACAATAATAGAACAAAGAAAGAAAGAAAAAGAAAAAGAGTTGAATATTGAGTTCCAGAAAAACATCTGTTTCTGCTTCATTGATTACGCAAATGCCTTTGACTGTGTAAACCACAACAAACTATGGCAAGTTCTTAAAGAAATGGGAGTGCCTGACCACCTTA